AGAACTGAATTCTTTAAAACAAAATGGCCGCCAGTCGGCCATTTCGAACCCGATCCAAAAAAAAAAATGACGTGCATCAAGGTCCTATTATGTTTCATGTATGTACCAAATTTGAACAAAATCCGTCCATGCATAACTGAGATCCGGGTCCGGAATGGTGAAAATGTGCGATTTTGATGCATTTTCGGCCTTAAAATGGCCGCTATTCGGCTATCGTTAATCGGATCATGAAAAAAACGCATGTGCATATGTCCCATATAATGTGTGATGTATGAGTGAAGTTTGAACTTAATCGGTCCATGCATGTTCGAGATACAGGTGATCACGGACGCACGGACGCACGGACGCACGGACGCACGCACACAGGGCAAAACATAAGTCCCCGTTTTCGGACTGCGTCCGAACGGGGACTAATTATAAGAAACTCTGAAATATATCGGGAATTGAGAGGGTATATTTCTACGGGTGCTTCTGCCTCTTAATGACATCGATTGCATCTCATTGTTTGATGTCGTAATGGGTACTGCTATCACAATCAAACCAGACAAACGAACGTTGGAGTATTTGTCTTCAAAATACGTCTTATATTAGTCGACACTCTCTATGCTGGATTTTCTGGATAAAATGCTTATTTTTTTCCGTAGGTATGTTACACCTTGAAATGACCAACCAATTACCATGAAGTGCAATACAAAACACAGAAGTAGAGGTTATTGTAGCTGATTGAAGTTTTCCTGACTTTATTTCATTCTGAAATTTTTCAATTGTTCTGTGTGAACGTGTGTGGACATATAGCGATACAACACTAATACATTATCGACTTTAATTTTGTACATGTGTGCCTTTGTAAATAAAAGTGTTACCAGCTCTTTGTGTATCTTGATTATTTTGCTTTTATAACACACTAACAGCTTATATCGATAATCAGGTAAATGATTCGTACATCTAAGTACCACACACTTAGATAATCTAAATCCCATATGTACTTTTCAACAACTTGAGATATTTGTCATCGATAATAATGGAACACTGACTCTTGTGCTCGATGTCTAATAATTTTAGCCACACTTCATTTCGAAGTGATTAGTTGAGAGAATCCTGAGTGGGGCTACATTGTACATGGCAACGAAAGCAAATATTTGAATTTGAGATAACATTTGAACCACACTCAAGCAAGCAACGATTACATTAATATTATTTGTAAAATGTAACTGTGTCGTTCTACCCCGACAAATTGAGGTCTGAAAACACTTTAAACGGCAATTGCTGGTCATTAGAATCACCAACTATACTACTAACGAGCAGAATTAATAGCTTCATACCATTAACAAAGAACCATGACATGTTTACAGGTAACAGGTAACAACGTCAGATATTACTAAAACTATTGTGCTTTGTCGCCTGTTGCATATTTCTGTCGTTTGAAAGCAATGCAATATTAACGCAAACAGAGCAATATTAAGGTAACTACTCAGTGGGAACTTCTTTTCTGTAGATGCGGTATATATAAACAATACGTCGCCAGCATTCTTTTAAAAATTTACATACTCTGGAGACTTTACTCTCGAATATAAAAACGGACACCACAAAACACAAACATAGACCTGTTCAACAAATCTACAACTTTCGATGGTTTAGAACGTTTCGCCGAAGAATATAATTAATATGTATTTTATTTCCGGAACACATCTATAACACCCCTAAAACTGTACTGTATTCGGGGTAAAACGTGTTCAGTTGCGTTCCATACAATCGGACGAACATAAATGATGTGTGTGTGTGTGATCTGCCCTATGTTATTTACATGTAGTTTAAATAGTCTCTGTTTCATGGGTAATACGTCCCTTACTGTTGTACGTTGAAATGCATTTAAAGTTAGTTGAACTATATTTGCTCTGTCATGTGGCGTACTGAAAATAACTACGTTTAGCTTCAACCCTGTGTCCGATGTGTGGCATGTTATTAAGCACAAAATAATGCCCGTGTTAATTAGTAATATAATATACAAAACTGAATTCTAATGCCGATCGTAAATAATGACACATACTTTTGTATCTAGCTTAGTACCACTGACCACAAATGAATCATTACCGACTTTGTTAATGGTAGCGCCCCAAAAGTGGAAAGACAACATGTCGGTGTAGCTTGAAACCAGTATTATATACTGATATTTGTTCGCACGTTTTTTTTTTTTTTTTTCATTTTGGTAGATTAAAACGGATAACTTATCTCTATAATATTCCAACTAGAGTAGTAGCAGATAGGGGAGATTAAAGATATTATTGAGTATACGACCTTTACCTGGCACACCCAACTAAAATCATCCCAAACCAACCTATATTTCATGTCTGCCAAGTTTGTTTCGTTAATCTAGTGTCTAACCACTTAGACACCACTTGACTACCATGACTACTAGGAAGCTTAATGCAGTTGCGGAAACACGGCAACGCCATGTCTTAATTGAAAAACTAGTGGAAAGAAAGTCAATAAAATGATGTAAACGAATGACCTCACCGGAAACGGACGGAATAAATGCAGGATGTTTCAACGATGTGGCAAGGTATACCTAACAAAGCAATACTTTTAGAGTTATGTAGTCTTTCGTCAACCAAATATTGATGACTTACAGGGCGACATTGTATTGTAACTACTATTGTACATGTGTTGATGTAGCAGCAACACACCGCAATGTAGAGGGCGCTATTTATAGAGAATGAATATTTAAAGATAAATTAAGTTTTCAATAAGTCACTTGTTTGAACTTAAAATATGTTTCTAAACTTTGTGATTAAATCATAGAAGTTAATTATAGCTTGTTGTTTGTTCCTAATACAAATTCATGTATTTGTGTATATGAGTTAATGTATATATAATAAACTTGTACACTGAGTGCAAACCTCAGCAATTGAATACAACAATTGAATTAGAAACGAGTTCAGCCCTTGGTATTGACGCCGGCTATAACGTAAAAAGTGGCCGGTTGAATGGGTAAAATCATGTTAGATTAACTTCTGTGAAGATTCCCACTAGCTGTCAGCAATTTGTATTTCTGTGTTATAATTCGCGGGGTGGGAACCTAGTGTGTATTATTATTTAAAAATGAGCTTCCACAATTCAATCGTACGAAATTGCAACGTAGTTTTGGGTTGGTTCAGTCACATACACATCATTTTACTATTCTTATTGCCGAGAATTCTTGAATATCGAACGAGTCAGGTTGAACCGATAGCGCCACCATGCTTTCCAACTAATATACGGTTGTTTATGCACCCCATTTAACGAGTGTTGAGTGTGATTCAGGACTTCCACCGTGTTGAAAATAGTGTGTATAGAATATGATCGAAGTGACTCTAATTTGATTTTTAAATATTAGTTTGGCATCATAATTTTGTTGTATATGAAGACTGCTTTACTCGAGGCAATTCGCATCTTGATTGCCATAACGGCCACACACTAGGCAAGCATGTATGGGGAAGGGCTTCAAATTGCCTGATAACAGACATGGTGGTTATCAGTCGAGATTTGCTGACCAATATTGGCTACACGATTATACAAGAGACACGCAAGAATTACACAGGATTTGTCAAACAGTTAAATATGATTCACTAGGTGTTAGTTTAATTTTACAACGACGTCATCTTTTTTATTAATTAGAATCATTAAACCTTATTAATTTGACTAAAGTTGTTATTCAGCAAGCGCAATACATTGTATTTTGTGAGATGATGTCAAAAATAAGGCACCCCATCATGCAACCATCTTCAGTGAGTATAAACGACCTCAAAAATTTCTCAATAGAAAGTATTAGATAATTGAATAGTCGCATGAATAATTGAATAAAACTAATCCTATTATAATAGTGTCTACAGACACAATTCAGTTGGTGACCGATGATCTTAATTTGCATCGTATAACACAAAACTATACAATCTTTCTTTTTCATAGCCACAGAAACTCTAATGATTTTTTCATTGCAAAGGATAAACATATTGACTTAAATAATTTACTATTTGTTTACATCGTCAACAAGATGTTAGATCAGTCGCAATATCATTATCAATATCAATAGCCCTAGACATGCTTTTCTAGATAATCTGGAAAACAAAAATAAAATCTCGCTGAACTAGATAATGTTTGCATCGTCAATTTTATTTAATTTTACATTTCCTCAGCCGAGATGAATTTGAAATGCTCACTCGCCATGTGTTACCTGAATGTTGCCCACGTGCCTACAACTTTTTGATTGTAAAATTCGACAGTACCATCTTCACCATCTCAGATCATACGTGAGCTGTCAATACATGGAACAGTCACGCCAACAGCAAACATAGTTTTACAGCCTTAACCTCAAAGAGATTAGTATATCACAACATGAACATCATTGTTTAATCACTGAGAGTACCTTTAGGTCGCAGTTTGCGACATTTTGACCTCGGTTAAATAGGTAGAAGATTTGTTTGATCAGATACAAGATAACAAATTACTCTATAAGTGGTAGGATAAATCTAGGCCATGTAATAAGTCTACACTTGCAGTATGTCAGTGTGACGTGTAACATCTACATCATTGGAACAATTGAGCTTTTTGGAAAGTAATGAATTATATTTCATAAATTGCAATATAAAATATCGATAATGAGTACATTGTTGCTCACATTATCCGGGGACAGGAATATTTTATTTTCGACATATCAATTACACTGGTAAAAAATATACGGCATATGGTTTGGTTTATGCAACTTGTCTCCAATATCAAGGACACAACTTAAAAGAAAATCATAAACCAGTATATCCTAGGGGTGTACACTTATCTATGTTGATTGTTAACATTACAGTATGTAGACAAAGAGGCCAAATAATTACACATGAAAACTGGTATATGCACCATACATCAAATAAAAACAATTGTATTAGTCTATGTGCCGCATCTGAAAAATGGCTTAGCGCTACAACTTTGAGCGGAAATTTCTACCAATGATTTTCTGGGAGCATTTTCTGTGAATACGAATTTGTATGATGACAAGCACAAATCTTTAATCCAATTCTTGTTTTTTGTAAACTTGTACCAGTCTCTTGTTTGTCATATGTGCAATGTGGATTGTTCAAGCATTGGTACCATCAGTGACCTTAATATTATAAATTGGTGTGCCCCTATGAAACATTATCATTATCATAATCATAACATTTTGTTTAAACAGTTTGACAGCTTGCAACGTAATGCTGTCATACAGCAAGTAAATGAGCTGCCACGGTTTAAATATATAGTATGGCAGTAACACTGGAATTTGAATGATATCTATCAGTGACGTTAACATTGTTTACCTGTCGAGAATCCTGGGATAGTAAGCGTGTGAGATGGAAATGCATCGTTCTTATAAGGTGTGCCCGGGTGTGATTTAAGACTTCCATCGTGTGGTCAATGTGAGTACAAGTTCAAAAAGACAACTTGGAAATTATGTTGTGCTTCAAGTTCTACAAATATTAGGTAAGTAACGTCAAACATCGACTTCGTCATTGTTACATGTGCACTAATTGTGGCGACAGACACCGAAAACAAGACGTTTTTTTGAACAACGTTGCCTGAATCCCCTCTTCTTATCCCGGCCCCATCTAAGCCATTTTTGAAACGTCTCCTAGACGAGTTAATTTTACCACGATGCTATACGCATCTCTGTTTTTTAATTGAAATCATTAACTCCTTTAAGTTTGAGTGTCGTTCCACTTAAATCATTGTGTTACTAGCCAGCTCAGAGCGGCGGCACAAATGTTTAATGGAGGGGTGCTATCTGCTAACCACCTATCGCGCCCAC